ACTGATGCCCCCCCCGCCCCAGCTCTGGGGCTGTTTGGGAGACACTCTGAAGCAGCCACAGTCCCCATGTCCATTGCCCCTGGCCCCAGCACCCTCTTCAGTTGAGTTGCCCCGGTGGGAGGGAACGGGAGCATACCACATTCTCATTTCCATGTTTCGAGTCCGGGGATGTTTGGGAAGCACGCATACACAGACATGGGATCACAGGCATCAAACGTGAGGCTCGTGGGGGTTTTGAAAGAAGGATGAGCTTCCCTTCAGATGGTGCTCAAGCTTCCTCCGCCCATTCCAGTGGCACTGTTTTGTTTTTAGAACACAGCTGCCTTGCACCAGGGGTTCCTTGCCCCCAATGGCCTTTCTCAAGGTGGCAAGGGTGAGCCCAGGAGGGGGACCGCTCAGCTGTGCTGTTGAACAGGGAGTGTGAACTTCAACTGAAATGGTGCTCTTTCCTGTCCAAAGGGGACACTGCTCCCCACCCCACTCACTCCACTCCAAGGTCAGAAAAGCCACATGCAGCAGTTACTAATGAGGTGAACAGCTTCTGGACTGACTTCTGGAGGAAATCCGTAGTTCTTCAGACATGTTCTGGGGGGCAAAGTAACTCCACGAAGGTGTGATTCTAACTTCCCCTTTAGAGTGCATATTTAAGGGGCACCTGGGTGGCTCAGTGGGTTAAGCGTCTGCCTTCAGCTCAGGTCATGATCCCAGGGTGCTGGGATCGAGCCCCGAATTGGGCTCCCTGCTCAGTGGGAAGCCTGTTTCTCCCTCTCCCACTTCCCCCTGCTTGTGTTCTCTCTTTCGCTGTTTCTCTCTCTGGCAAAGAAATAAATAAAATCTATTTTTTTTTTTTAAAGAGTGCATATTTAAAACCCACTCCAATAACTGAACATTCAGAACTCTAGTAACACCACACGCATCCTCAGATGTGTTCCAGGCGCAAATGTGTGATGATACAGACCCTTCGTGTGTGAATGGGAGCCGTCGGGGCTGCTCTCGTGTGCGCAGAGCTAGAGTCCTTGTCACGGCTGTGTAAGCGAAGAATATCTGGGATTGGAAGGAGGGCTGTTAAAATAAAACCGTTAGTTGCAAATTCTAAGCTGGATGAAATTAACATTTCTGTATCTGGTGCAACCAAAGCCAAACACAGAAATACACGACTGAATGCGGGGATTGGTGCACATAACCTTAGATTTCGAATGCTTTCTATTGGGACACTTGGGTGTCTCAGTTGGTTAAGTGTCTGCCTCAGCTCAGGTCCTGGGATCGAGTCCCACATTGGGCTCCCTGCTCAGTGGGGAGTCTGCTTCTCCCTCTGCCCCTCCCCCTGCTTGTGTTTTCTCTCTGACAAATAAATAGAATGTTTAAAAACAATAAAAAACTTCTATTTACAAACAATAAAATGCTTTCTAGTTAAAAATCATAATTTCAACATTCTCACGGATTTGCTTTGAAAGTTATTTGAACTCAGAAAATACATGCATAAAAATGGTTCTGTGTCGTAGAGCAAAAGTCCCATGTAAAACTGTCTCGTACACTAGAAAGCCGCAGGTGTAGCATGAGGAGCATGGGCAGACGGAGGCCGGAGTCCAGGCTGCATACCACCACCTACCAGCCACACAGCCTTGACAGCATTTGCCCTCCCGGCCCCCAGCTCCACGTCTATAAAATTGGAGCCGATCACACCTACTTCACAGGGATTTTGATCCCCTGAGACATTACCAGGTGTTCAGGACACAGTTGATCCTCAATCACTAGTTTCCGGATAACACTGGAATAGCACAGACCTCTCAGGCCCCTTTACAATCAAAGTTAGTATCTGCTTATACAGTAGCCGGGTGGCAACCCAACGCCCGGGGCTAGATCAGCTGGGCCCTCACCTAGATCAGTGCCCTCCTCTGACAACCGAGCCAGCCAGCTACCCTGCCAGCACTTGGAATCCTTTAAGAGCCGCCCCCGGACACAACAGTGTATGGGGTTGTGGGGTGTCTCTGTGTGAACTCATGCTTTCATTATACAATATTTGTTATTTTTCCATCTGTCTGCTAATGGCAGCCCAACCACGGGGCTTTCATTCGTGAAGAATTCTGTGGAATGTGGGCTCTCCAGCAGCTGGTCTGCTTCTCTTGTCCCTGAGAACTGCCTTCCTTCTCCAGTAGTGCAAAGCAAACAAGCACAAGAAGAGATAGAGTTTCTCTCCCCCATTTCACCTGGTACCCCTGAAAGTGGCAGCCCGCTTTGCAAATACTTGTCTTGGCCTCGGGAGTAAAGGGAAGTTTTTGGAGAAGCTGTTCTTAATTTCGCACTTTTGGAAAAATTACCCCAAACAGGAGGAGGCCCGGCAAGCATACAGATTCCATTTGATTACTGAGCAGAAGCTACCAGAGCCCTCAGATTAAGTGATAAACATTCCCAGGGGACAAAGCACCGAACCCTGTTTAACTTTATTATCGCTCTATCACTTACCACTCTCTGTATCAAAATCCCCAGAGGGAACTGAAAGCCCCGATTACAGGGATTCAGCTGGCCTTGAGAAAGGTCTAAACTTCTTTGAAAGGCAACTGTAAACTAAATAGCTGGTGATAAATAGCCTGTCCCAAGATATTCTTATGCAGTTTTTTTCGGTCATTGTAGGTGAGTGGGTGGTGGGGGGAGAAAGAGGGCAGGGGAGAGTTTTGTCCCTGCCTGCCATGAATGGCCAGTTGAAATCTGGTCTGTGGACACCAGACACCGTATCTGAAGAATTCGTTTGGAAGGCAGCCTTTGGCAAACCTAATTTGCATTCAGAGGAAACGTGCTGCATTTTCCACAACAGGCAGCCCAGCCAACAGGAGGGAGGGAGGAAGCTCTCTTCTCCTTGTCTGAAGGTTTATCCCTAAATGCTATGAAAATAGCAGCTGCTCGGGCAAGGGGGCGAGAGGGTTTGGAGAGTCCTCAAGCTTTTGAATAAGTTGGATATCACGGGCATGACTTAAAAAGGCAAAGACCAGCTATTATTCCAACACCCGTGGCAGAGGCACCTGGCATAGAGCGGCATGGTTATGTGGCCCACTGGCCGTCTTGTTTAAGTCAGTCCAGGAACAGAACAAACCCTGTGGCTGCCCACCATCCAGCTAGGCCAGCTGCCAGGGGTTTGGGCTTGGCCAGTGATAATGAACACTTCCTACTTCACACTGCCTTACAGTTTACAGAGCATGGGCACACCACCTGGTTTTAGGTGACCTATACAGTCTGATTCATTAGAATCCCCTTTCACAGACCCTGGAAACTAAGATTCAGAGCACCAAAGACTCATCCGATGTCAAAGTGCCAGACCCAGCCCTGGAGATCAGGTCTTGGACACCTTCTTCCCATTCTGCTGCTCTCCAGGGCCTCCCACGCCCAGTTATGGAGGTTGAGAGGGAAGAGAACCGGGCAGGTGAACCATCCCGCCTTGCCCTTCTAGAGGGTTATAAGGAAAGGTTTCTTTTTTCATCAGATTGATCTCTGGGTACCCTGCTGAAGTGGGGGAGTTGGTGAAAATAAAGAATGGAAACTAGGTAATGATCTCCAAGCCAACTGAATGGAAGTGCTGCAACAGATTTTCCACCGCTGAAAGAAACATCAGACTTCCCAAAAAGTTCACTGTAAAATGCCCACCCAGTTATTAAGGAAACAGGATTAACTTACTGTGGACGGGAGAGAACTCATCTGCAGTCACATGGAAAAGCAGGCTATGACTGGAACAGCAAGGTGGAGAAGGGAAAGTCAACAGGATAGAAATTCAGGGCACAGGAAGGGTTCCAAGTTGGAAGCAGCACACTTTATACATATTTATAGAAGGTGTCTGCCACAGCCCGGACATGCTAGGACCCTGCTGACAAGCAGGGCTGTCTTCAGGCACTGGTCCCTTCAGTGGTCAGGGAAGGGGCCCTTCTTAGGCAGGGAACAGGGGCGCAGGGGAAACACTGCATGGGGCCCATGGCTCACCGGCTTCCTGATTCCTTTCTATTGTCCGTTCTGTTTTCTGTCAACAGTGAGGAAATACACCCTAGCAAATGACATCCAGTAATGTTTAATTAACTGTAGTACTTCATGCTCCAATGTGCACCAAGAAATCACTTCCAGATGGGGGGAAATGAAAGATATTTACACAAAACGCAGTCTCTTTATTTTAAGGAAACTGATACCTCCCAAAGGTATGCAACTTTGAGGGTCTGAGAGGCTATCTATTTTGATAAATCCTAGAATGAGACTGGAAATTTGGATTTGCTATATACAGTGCAACACGGACTCTTTCTGCGTTCCAGCTTTTCATGCGGCCATGTTTCCAAGGCTATTGTTTAAGGGGCCCAATGCAGTTCTAATGATTTTATTTTTAGAAATCTGACTTGGAGTTGACAAAAGTGTGAACCACTGGCTTTTACCGTCAGCAAGTTAGTTATTTTGGAGATTTCTCTTCCTAGGGAGAGGAATTACATTTCCAGCTGTGACCTTTTGGCATTTTCCCTAGCATTCCGCAAATAGGGAACCAGGTTTCCTTGTCCAGCAGCAATCCAGGAGCGGTGTAACAGCCCCACATCAGGCAGCAGCTGCAGACCTGCTTGCTCGCCCTGTTGGCCTCACAACTGTCACCCTGGTCTTTGGCAGTCTGCTCTCAGTCCTGTTTGATCTGCACCGAAGAGCCATCCTAGGCATGAGAGACCAGGCACCTTTTTCTGGGGGGGCCAGGCAAAGTCCTAGGTACTAGTTCTTTGTTCCTTAAGAGAGGAAGGGGAGTGGTGACAATTTCAATTCCAGAACTGAACTTGGAGGTCAAAACACTCTATCCATTGTGGTTCCTGTCTCACTGTTATGATCCAAATGGAACTTTCTCCAGCCTGGGCCCCTCTAAGCCAGCCAGCAGGAAGTCTGTCCATAATAAGAACAGCAGCTCTTTTTCGGTTATAAATGAACCATATTTATTTTACCCACATAAAGTGGCTTCAAAGTTTTTTTTTTTTTTTTTTTTTTTTTTTTAAGACTTAGAGAAAGCGGGTGGGGGTGTGGAATGGGTACAGTATCTAATTTTATTGCAGTGGTTTTTAACAAAAGGTAAACATTATAATTACTTCTATGCCAGGCCCCACTCCAAACATACTGATTCAGAATCTCCAGGCAACTGTAGGTGTAAAAAGGGCCCCGCATGATTCTGACACGTATCCCCAGCTGAGAAACACGCTGTCTTTAGAGGACGCATATGCAGCATTCAGACCCCTTCAATGAGGCATTTAACATAACTCCTCCTGACATCTGCTGGCTCCTCGGAGATTCCTGACAATGTAATAAATCAAGAAAGCAAGTTCCCTGGCTGTGACCACCAACTGGGGGAACAACAGCGGCTTGACATCTCAATGCGTTATGGAGATGTCCAGAAAATGACTTCAGGAATGAACCGAAAAGAGAAGTGTGCATTGATAAACACCGAGAGTGACAAGAACCATGTGGAGCCTGCCAGCTTCCCCGGCTCCCCAGGTTGATGACAGATGGCCCAAGTGGTGGTGCTGTTTGTAGATGGGCCCATTGGCCCCTTTCTAGAGCAGGAAGAGAAGGTTAACCTCTACTAATGTGGGCGGAAGGACGTCACCAGAGCAGCGTGACAGTGCAGTCTTGCCTGGCTGCCCAGCCCCTACCCCCATGCATGCCCAATCCCCTCCCCACACTGTCCCCCCTTCCCCTATTTAGGGAGCTTTTCCTGAGAGCTCAGCTGAGGGCTGCACTTTCTGCTCCGTGCTGTTAAGTCATGAGATGCTCTACACGTTAAGAGTCCCATGGACAAGCAAGAGAAGCCTGGAAGCTGAGGAAGAAACGAGGCCCCGGATGATGGACTGAGTCTGAGAGGAGGTTAATGGAGAGGCAAGGGCACTGGAGAACAAGAAGGGGGGAAATGAACAGTTCCTGGCCTGGTTTTCAAACCTTAAAGTGCCCTCCTGTGTGGCTATCACAAGTTTTATGGATTTTCAGGAAACTTCCTCTATCCTGAAAACTCATTTTTGTGTGCTATTTGATATCCCAATTTTATCTTGAGGCCTGTTATGTGCATTCTCTGTAAAGAGCTCCTCCTTCCTCCTTAGCTCTCTCCGCACCAGGCCAGCAACTTGTTTAGAATTCCTGAAGAAGGCCCACAGCAACAGCGGCGGCCCTGAGGCTATGGTCGTGTTGAGCTAGGGCTCCGTCCCTCGTGAGCGAGCCTGGCAAATCAGGGCAGCGACCTGCTACCCTGCCCGTTCTCGTGCTGCAGGACGATTTGAGGACTGAGGCAGTTCTCTTCTGCCAGGCTGTGCTGGCTGCACGCCAGTGGAAAGGACGGGCAGACCAGGGGTCAGGGGTCGGGGTGTGTTCCGGGCTTGGGCAGGCTCTGAGCAGGTGTTTAAGGCCAACATTCTGTTCCTAAGGTATCCATGGACCTGGGTTCTTTCCCGATAGTAATAAAGTCATAGGTCACTCTGGCACTTCACATTGCTTTTGTTGTTTCAGATCATTCTGGAAAGTAATTTGGGTTTTAAAATAAATGGGCAAGAAGGGGATTAGAGGGCCCAGGCCTCCTGCGCTGTCCCACAGCTTCATCTGAGGAGAAAGCCTAGGACAAGTTTTTCTAGGAAAACGTCCTAGTTTCTCTTCACAGAAGGCCATCCCTTCCCTAGAAGTCAGGAGCAGGGTGGGGATAAAGATATGGAGAAAATAATCTGCTTACATCATGCAGTGAGTGGACAGATACAGGTCTACCCTCAGCCTCAAGCAAGGAGCCCTACGGCACAGAGAACACATAGAATCTTCCCAGGTGAGAGACACAGTGGGAATTTCTCCTTAGACGTATACAGACAGGGGACTGCGGGTTATGGAGAAATGTGAAGAACGCACTGGCCCAGTAATGACAATTATGTACCAGGAAAATGGACCTATGAGAAAGAGTGCTCCTGCCTCCACTGACTTCATAAGGCAAGGCCAATGTCCTCCACCTGTATTCTGCCACCTCCTCCAGAGCCAAGCCCGCAGAGCAGAGAGGACAACTCTTAGGGCCTGGCTGCAGAGGTGATCTCAAACAGCAGCAGATGGAGGAAAGGGTGGGATCCAGGCTTTCTCACCCAAGCTGCCTGCACAGGCACAGGAGATGGGGCCACAGGCCAGACGGATGTGACTGCAGAGGTGGGGGAGCGAGGCCGGTGACAATGGGATGGGTTGAAAGCAGCCCAGGAACACAAGTGGACTATGGGGTCCTTTCGCCCACCGCCGCCTCTGCTGTAGGAATCTGGGATCAACCAAGGAGGCTTTTCATCTCCCTGCCCTTGCTTGGCTTCTTGATCAGGACGCAAATTAAGACAGGTTGTGGGCAAGACTCATTAACAACCCATATGTCCCAGGAAGTTTCAAGACAGATGATCCGAGAGTCAGGGGGAGCACAAGATAGGTAGGGGGGTGCTGAGCATCACGGGCCAGGGGACAAAAGTGCCCTGTGTCTGCTCCTACAGTCTCTTTTTAATCAGTTTCTCTAGTTTGCGGATACGCGAGGACTCCTGTTCTGGTGTTGGGGCCAGTAAGGACAGGGAGCTGGAGCCTTCTGGACCTGAAGGCGGAGTGGGGAGCCTCTGGCGTAGAAGCTCCAGCATGCTGCTCTGCTCGCTTCTCTTCAGCCCCTGATTGAAAGACAAAGGAGGATAATCATGAAATCTGGCCCCAGAAAGGCCTGGGGGAAAGCGCAGCAGCGGATTGTGCAAACGGCGTAATTACTCCAGGTGGACGATGAATACTTTATTGAGGGCAGTTACCAGCCCAGGCCAGGAGCAGCCTGGGAGAAAAGCAGAGGAAGGAAAAACAGATAATAGGAGCAAAAGAAGGGGTCAAGAGAGAAGGGACAGAGTGCGGAAGGGTACTACTCCTTCCCCACTGCATTCCTTCTGCTCCCAGCCTCCACTGTGCCACGGTCCTCGAAGGAGCACGGAGATACCAGCAGCATCAGGAACTTATTCGGCCTGGGAGCTTTCTCCCCAGAACACTTCTTAGAATCTGGTTTGCAGCATGGGGTCAGGCAGAGGCACTTTGAGAGAGCTACCTAGGACCCCATGTCCCAATCTCCTCCCCTCCCCACCCCAGTTAAGAACCAGAGTGTGACAAGGATGTGTGAGTGTGGAAAAAACAACTCACTGAACTGACCTTCATGTCCAGTATCTTCTGGAAAGTTTCTGTGTTGCAGTCCGTAAGGAGTTTGATGTAGTTGTCAACAAACACCACCAACGGTTCGTGAGGAGCCATCACTACCTACCGGGGGAGAGAGACAGGAGCAGGACTGCAGGGGAAGTCATGACTGGAAGGTGGATGATCATTTTTCCCTACTTGCAAGCTGACCCCGAAATGGATTCTGCAAGATCTCCTTAAGCGACAGCAATCCTGAGCTCAGGAATGTCCCGATGCCGTATTTCATCTCCAAATTCAGTGACAGCATGGTTTTTTAAATTTGCTAAACCACAAATATCACCTGGATTGCTTGTTGAGTAACAGATTCCTACGTCCCCCTCCTGAAGACTTCAGCTCAGAAGGCCCGGGCTGGTTCCCAGGCGATTTTTACATATTGGGACCATTCTGTGAAACACCGTATTGGAGTCTCCTGTTTTGAGACAGGGGTTCACGATACCTGCTCCTCCTGTCCCGAGGCACCTCATCCCTGAGAGATGGGTCGCAAAAGTCATAAAGCTAAGTGGGTTATGGGGCACCTGGTGTATCTTAGTCATTAGGTTAAGACACCTGGGTGTCTTACTCATTAAGCGTCAGCCTTTGGCTCAGGTCATGATCCTAGGGTCCTGGAATAGAGCCCCACATCAGGCTTCCTGCTTCTCCTTCTCCAGCTCCCCCATGCTTGTGTTCCCTCCCTCACCACCTCTGTCATAAATAAAATCTTTAAAAAAAAAATTAAAAAAAAAAAATCTAAGTGAATGAGGACAAAAAGACAAAAATCCCAAAGCTGCCTCACTCTTCAAGACTTAAAATCTGAACTTCATTTAACTATATTCATTTAAACTATTGATTAATACACAAACAGAAGGAAACTAATGGTATTGAGAGCCTCAAATTCATTCCTCTTTGGTTTTGGAATGCCGTGTCTGATTTTCTTGCTGCCCTGGACTGGTTTTGTTGTGAACTCCTGAGAACGGACCACAGAGGGGCAAGGACCAGTTCACTCAGACATTCCCTGCAGATAGCTCCCAAGCTGCGAGCTCTCCTCCCCGGTGGGTAAGCCAGCTGTGGGGGGGAACCAACGAGGCTGCTTCTGACTTCCTGAGTCCAGACCCTCACCTGGTCCCACGGACGTCTCAGGTGCCATAGCTACCTTCCACTCCTGCCATCATTTGAGAGTCATTCTGTTTGGGAGACAGACATGACAAGCCTGCAAGCCCTGCTCTTTTAGGAACATTTCATGACGGTTTCATTTGTTCTCCAGGCTTCCCCTCCCCTCCGAGAGTCCCTCACCCCCCTTCTCAACAAGGGCAGGTGAAAATCAGATGCAGGTGCTCAAGGCTTCAGACATTCGCAACATCATCATCCACATATAATAATTTGTTACATGGGGCTTTAGAGAGTCCATTCGCTGATTAGATTCAGTCCCTGAAACATCTGTTTAGAGTTCCTGTAAAGTCGAAGAATACAGAAAGCTGAAGAAGTTTATGGGGAAGGGAGTAACTGATACCTGGGCCAGAAAGTCCTGCTGAGAAGCAAAGAGATCCTTGGCTGAGACACTGATTCATGGCGTCAACCCACCTGATTTCCAATCTTGGCCAAATCCTACTACAAGAGAATCCCTTTACAACGAAAAATTCATTTGTCAGAAAGAATTACTGATCGCCTGAGTAAACTGTCTATCGACTTTCAACAGTATCTAATGAGGTCAAAATCTAGTCCAGCTAAGGAATGTGGACAATCCCTTGGAACTGATAGGGACAGACCCTCATCTGTACTTTCAAAACCAGTACTACTTGGAATAAGCCACCAGATAACCAGCCCCTTTTAACAGAAACCCCGAGGAAGACATAAGCCCCACCTTGAGTATCATTTCTGCGCGGGTCATGCCTTTCACAACAATCTTGGTGTAACTAGCAGGTGCTTTCCTCACCACCTGTGAGCCAATGGAAGGTAGATCGAGCAGGACCATCTTCAGGGAATGGGTGTCCAGCAACAGCTGTGGGAATGAAGCAGCATATTACACAACACTTAGTATACCTATGCTGATTAGTAACAGTTTCCTGATTTTAAATGTAATGCACTGGAGAGAATTCTGAAAATAAAAACATTCGTTACAACTCCTACTGCCCAGGAAAAAACAAGGGAGACACAGTTAAATGTGGTATATCCCTTTGAAAGCTGGTAAGAGAGTAGATCTTCAATGTTCTTACCACAAAATAGAAATGGAATTATGTGACAGGATGGAGGGGTTAGCTAATGCTGCAGTGGTAATCATTTTGCAATATATAAATGTACGAAATCAACACCCTGTACCTTTATACTTACACAATGTTGTAGGTCAGTTATAGCTCAATAAAGCTAGAGAAAAGATGTAGTAGAATTCCTGCTGGTCTATGTATGTGTAGACAAAACTAAACTAGAGGGACGCCTGGGTGGCTCAGTCATTGAGCGTCTGCCTTCAGCTCAGGTCACGATCCTGGAGTCCTGGGATTGAGCCCCGCATCAGGTTCCCTGCTTGGTGGGAGGCCTGCTTCTCCCTCTCCCGTTCCCCCTGCCTGTGTTCCCTTTCTCACTGTGTCTCTCTCTGTCAAATAAAAAAAAAAAAAAAACTAAACAAAACTAAACTAGAGGGGTGCCTGGGTGGCTCAGTCAGTAAAGCATCTCACTCTTGATCTCTGTATCATGAGTTTAAGCCCCGTGTTGGTTCCACGGTGGGCATGGAGTCTACTTTAAAATAAATAAATAAAAACACCCCCCACCAACTAAGTTAGAATCATAGTATACATACAGTTTTATATTAGAATCATAGTATATATACAGTTTTATAACCTGGTTTTCCCAGTTAATATACGAAGTTTTTTGTATTTTATTTTCCCATCTTGCAGTCTTAAAACTTATTCTTTTTTAAAGGTTTTATTTAGCTGAGAGAGTGAGAGACACAGAGAGAGAGAGAGATCATGAGCAGGGGGAAGGGTAGAGGAAGAAGCAGTATCCCCATCGAGGAGGCAGCCTGATGTGGGACTCCATCCCAGGACCCTGAGATCATGACCTGAGCTGAAGGCAGATGCTTAATGACTGAGCTACCCAGGCGCCCCTTAAAAATTATTTTTAATGGCTACTTATACTCTATGGTGTGTGTGTACATAACTTTATTTTAATTTACTTATTTATTTTTAAGATTTTATTTATTTTAGAGACAGAGAACGAGCATGGGGAGGAAGAGAGAGGGACAAGCAGACTCTGCACTGACTGTAGAGCCCGATGTAGAGCTTGATCCCACCATTGAGCTGAAATCAAGAGTTGGACACAGGGGTGCGTGGGTGGCTCAGTGAGTTAAAGCCTCTGCCTTCGGCTCAGGTCATGATTTCAGGGTCCTGGAATTGAGGCTCTCTGCTCAGCGGGGAGCCTGCTTCCTCCTCTCTCTCTGCCTCTCTGCCTACTTGTGGATCTCTGCCAAATAAATTTTAAAAATCTTAAAAAAAAAAAAAAAGAGTTGGACACAACTGAGCCACCTAGGCACTCCTAGATTTTATTATAACCAATGAATGCTGTGGCGAACAACTTTGTATATACTAATTCTAGGTCTATCAAAGGCATTTCCTTTGGAGAGTCTTTAGGACAGATCAAAGGATAAGGACATTGTAAGGTTCTTGATACAGATCTTGAACTGCTTTTCAAATGGAATGTGCACCTATTCACTTATCTGGCAGGAGTGCAGGCTACACCCTTTCTCATCAGCCCTTAAGATGATCATAAAATTCTTGCTTATTAAACAGGCAAAAAATGGTAACTTGATATACATATAAATTTTGTTTTAAAAGATTTTATATATTTATTTATTTGACAGAGAGAGAGAGAGAGAGAGAGAACACAAGCAGGGGGAGAGGGGGCTTCCAGGTGAGCAGGGAGCCTGATGGAGGGCTCGATCCCAGGAACCTGAGATCATGACCTGAGCTGAAGGCAGATGCTTAACCGACTGAGGCACCCAGGCGCCCCTAAATTATCTTTTTTTTTTTTTTTTTTTAAAGTAAGCTCTATGCTTAACCTGGAGCTTAGACTCATGATTCTGAGCTCAAGACCTGCACACTTCACCGACTGAGCCAGCCAGGTGGCCCAGTATTGCTGTATTTTTAATTTCTCTGATGTTAGTGAGGATGTAGGAGAGAAACCAAATTTAAACATCAGTATCTTGGTAACAATCTGCCTTTTCCTTCCTTTGTTCCTTTGTTCCTTCTTTCCTTCCGTTCTCTGGGATGCCAACTGTTTGGAAGGATATTAACTTTCCTGATTGCCTACCAAGTGTCGGGAGAGATGACTGGGATGTTTCGTCTCATTTAAATTTTTACAAGAGCCTCCCCTATAGGCATTTATTGTTCCCATTTTATAGATGACAAAATCAAAGTTCTAGAGATTGAATTAACTTGCTGATGAAGGTGTGTCACATGATGGACAGGTGCGCTACATGATGAGGTGAACAGGACACTGTATCTCTGTTTCCTGCCACCCGGATACATGCTGTGGAACAGTGTTGGCTTTGAGTTCACAATGTTTCCTGATGACTCCACATGCACTAATAAGCAGCTGCGCTGTTGGCAACCAGGTGGCAGGGAAATGGCTGAAGCCTCAAAGGGCATATACACTCTGGCCTGTTCCAACAGTTTAGGAGAAGAGAATCACATACCCACCAAAGGTGGCAGAGGGTGACAATCCTACTGCCACCATTGCTCTAATGGTGAAACTTTTTTTTTTTTTTTACATTTAAAAAAAAAAAGATTTTATTTATTTGACAGAGATGCAGGGGGCACGGCAGGCAGAGAGAGAGGGAGAAGCAAGCTCCCTGCTGAGCAGAGAGCCCAATGCCGAGCTCGATCCTAGGACCCTGGGATCATCACCTGAGCCAAAGGCAGCCGCTTAACTGACTGAGTCACCCAGGCGCCCCTACACAAATGTTTCTAACAGGTTTATTCATAACTGCCAAAATTCGGAAGCAACCAGGATGTCCTTTAGTAGCTGAATAAACTGTGGTAATGGAATATTGAATTTCAACACTACGCAGAAATGAGCTTTAAGCCATGAAAAGACATGGAGGAACCTTAAATGCCTACTACTAAGTGAAAAAACCCTGTGTGATTACAACTACCTGATGTTCTAGAAAAGGCAAAACTATGGAAAAAGAACAAATATCAGTGGAGGCCAGGAACTGGGGGTGGTGGTGGGATGGATGGGTGGAGCACAGAGGATTTTTAGGGCAGTGAAATTTCTCTGTATGATGGATACATGTCACTATACACTGAACCTACAGAATGTAACACCAAGAGTGAACCGTAACATAAACTACAGACTCTAAGTGGTGATGGTGTGTCACCTTAGGTGCAGCAGTTGGAACAAATGTAGCAATCTGGGGCAGGCTATTGCTAATGGGTGAGAGGCTAAGCTTTTGTGGGGTAGGGACGCATATGGGAACTCTCTGTACCTGCCCTTCAATTTTGCTGTGAGCCTTAAACTGGTCTGAAAAAATTTAAAGCCTCAATTTAAAAAAAAGCTGGCGAGGAAGCTACACGAAGGAAAGAAGAATACCATGTGGTAGTGTGGCTAGTCAAATTGCCAGTCATTCAACTATTAGGGCATTTGGGGCTCTTCTTGGTTTTCAGAGATGAAAATTCTTAACTCTCCTAGTATCTGTTTTTTGAAAAGGCCTTGGGCTTACAGTCAAATACCTAAGCTAGGTGCCTGGGTGGCTCAGATGGTTAAGCATCTGCCTTTGGCTCAGATCATGATCTCCAAGTCCTGGGATCAAACCCCATATCAGGTTCCCAGCTCAGCAGGTAGTCTGCTTCTCCCTCTCCCCCAGCTTGTGATCTCTCCATTTCTCTCTCTTTCAAATGAGCAAATAAAAAATCTTTTATTTATTTTTTAAAAAGATTTTATTTATTTATTTGACACGGAGAGAGAGAGATCACAAGTAGGTAGAGAGAGAGAGGGATGCAGGCTCCCCACTTAGCAGAAAGCCCGATGCGGGACTCGATCCCAGGACCCCGGGATCACGACCCAAGCCAAAGGCAGAGACTTAACCCACTGAGCCACCCATGCGCCCAAAAAATCTTTTAAAAAATTAAATTAAACTAAAGTACTAAGCATGCATAGGAGAGATGAGGTTAGACTGCTTGAGGCCTACATGAGGAGCCCAGCATCAGAACACTTATCAGAGCCCACTAGAAATGATTGCTGCTCTTGCTCCGAGGGAACCCAATACATGCCTCTGAAGAATAAGCATGCTAAATCCCAGGTAGATTAAAAACCTAGATATGATAATAAAAACTTTCAGAAGAAAACAGATTCTTCTTCTTACTTATAGATAGAGAAGAATGGGAAACAGGACAGATCAAAAAAATCTATTACCTTAAAATGAGGCTAGATCAAAAGATACAGAAGCAAATGAAAAACACAAATCAGAAAAGGGTATCTGCGACATTGGTAAAGGAATAATATTCAAAATACATAACAATTCCTACAAAGCAGCAACAATAAAAAAGGCCAGCAAAACCTCAACAGTAATAATAACACCAACAGTGGGGCAAAGATTTGAACAGGTAATTCACAAAAGCAGGAACTCAAGTGCTCACAAGGCATCTGAAATGATACTCAACGTTATTAGTGATCCACTAAATGAAAATGAAAGCTACAAGCTATATACCATTTCATGATCATCAGAGAGACAAAAGTAAAACGGTTGATACTACCAAATGCTGGCATGGATATAGTGCAATGAAATTCACACTTGTGGTAAGAGTACAAATTAAAGCACTTTGGGGGAAATCCAGTAATGTTTTCCTACCTGGGGATGTGCATAACCCATAACACAGCCCTCACACTTATATCCTTCAGCGAAATTCTTGCCCACGTGAAAAATGCTCCCTGCATCCACTGTTTGTAAAAGCAAAAGACTGGAAACAATCTAAATGTCCATGAACAGCTGAATGATAAATGAATGGTGGC